AAACACACCAAACCATAATAAGTGTTGAAATCCTCAAAAAGAAAATACACACGTTTACAATATACTTTAAAAGTTCAGTTACGAAATAAAACGTTTGAAAGTTTGATTATCTCCCGATTGTCGTTCACGTGTTGCCAACTGTACTACTCTTCACCTGAAATATTGTATAACAACGTCTAAGTCAATGCTTAGTGAATGACTCGGGTTAAATCCGCAACTTTAGCTTTCATTGAAATGGGTAAAACTTAACGTCTAGTAAGTTATTAATCAAGTTTTAATATCATATCCCAACTCAAGTTTTAATGCCTATTCCCCGTCCCATGATCAGTGGGGTCGTTGGCGCGATTACCAAAAAAGCGTATTTCCTCATCGAAGCAACAATACTGACTTCACATAGTCAACCTACTGACTACGCGAATTATCGGACAACCCAATCAAAATCATATCTCAACTCATATAATATACGATCCAAATCGTATACTATATAAATTAGATTATAATCACATCAATTATTAATATATCATATATAGAATTACCATACTACAATCATGCGATTCATAATAACCGAACTTATTCGACATATTATTAAACATTTATCAATTATTATTATATTATTATTTTTTTTACAGTAATAACATATTTTTATTTATTTGTTTTTACACCATAAACTCATAATTATTATAAACTTGAATCATTAGCATGTTTCTATTTTTAACAATATACACGAATATCGTTTTCTACCCTTAAGAAATGATAGTTAAATTTGAGAATTTAACTCGAATCACTCACCGAATTATATCGATTATTTTTTTTGAACGGGGCGTCCTCCGAAATTAATCGAAATACCATCTTTAATTTATAATAATCACTTTTTTTTGTATCTTCTCTTTCTTATTTTTTTAGTTTACTCTTTTTTTATAAATCTTTCTCTCTCTATTTTTTTTCTCGTGATTTATTTACGAAGGGAGACTCCCCTTTTATAATAAAATTATAGCCATTTTTTTTTATTTCTCTAGGAGCATTTGTCCACATTTTATGTTTGTTTATTTTTTTTATATTTGTAGGCTAACGCCTACGTTTTGTTTTTTTTTTTGTTAATTAGTATATTTTATTAAAAAAAAAAAATTGGGCTTTGAGCCCAATATTATAACAACTATTATGACACCAATATACAACATCAGCCATTATTTAGTCATTTTTTTAAGTTTAGAAAAAATTAGGCACAATAAAAATTATAAAAATTATTATTCCACCAAATTAAAAATTTAAGAATTGTTATAGATTTTTTGCTATAACTAATGCATCAATCCATTGCTGGATAGTCGATACTAAAAATAAGTCGAAAACATTTAAGTAATTCTGTACTGTAATCAATTAATATAAAAACATAAGTTCAGAGGTTTTATGTTACAGACAATACTTGATATGCTGTTATATTGATTACTATACTTCTACTAGAAAGATTATAATTAAAGATTAGTGACAATTAATAAGTAGAAAATTAATTAAAAGATAAGTAAAAAAATAAAAGATAGGAATAGAGAAGGAAATGGCTTTGAGATATGACACGTCGTCTCAGAAAGCAAGCAACGAATCAAACCCTTGTCTGGACGTACCATATACCAATATCAGATGACCACATACACCAAAATTCACCAACAGCGTCCCAACGAAAAAGAAATTCACAAATCGGAACCCACAGTGTTAAAAAAAATATAATATATAGAAAATAAAAAATAAAAATGGAAACCCGCATTTGTTTCATTAAACCATTGTATATTCCGAATATAGACATATTACATATAAATCGGCGAGGGTTTGAGATCACAATTAATAACATTTATTTTTCAATATCCATGAATAGAATATAACAACAACGATCGAGTTTTATAACAACCAAACAAGCATTTTTCTCATTTTTCTCGGCGAAAGTTTTTTTTTCCAGAGTTTCTCTATATAAACAACGTTCTAGTCACCCAATCGAAATAGGTTGAATGGTGTCTTTGTCCCTCATTTTCCTCTGTTTTCTCTCTCAACTCTCTCAGTTCGATTTGTTCAATCTGCTACACGTGATACATACTAATGTATCGTAAAAGCATACGATGGTTTCAAAATTAGATATTTTGAAACCTGAACATTCTATATGCATAAACACATAAAGATTCTGATAGTAACAACAATTATTGCAGTCTTGATATAGAAACGATCCTAACTTCATATTTTGCAAAGAAGATTTCATATTTCAGAGTTACAAGAATTAAAAAAAAAAAAAGACTGGGTGTTGTGTTTCTCTCCATTCCCATGCAATCTTACCATTTTTTTTTCTCATATAACATCGAGTCATTGACTCTGCCTAAACATGAATTCGTTCGTGTTTGGCCGGTCCCAAAACCCGGATAGAGGAGGAGGGTTTTGCGGTAGTTGATAACCAGCAAACTCAAACTTATGTCAAATCTCACATACAATGAATTTCAAATGATATAAACGTTGATGATGATGATGAATAGGGGTGTCAAAACAAACCCGAGGCCCGTTACCCGGCCCGGCCCGTCGGCCCGGAAAAATAAATATATTATATATTATATAATATAAATATATATAGATATAGATAAATATATATACATATATGCATAAATATATACATATTCATTCACTAATATTTAATAAATTTTATTATTATATAAAAAATAAAAAATTTGAGTTTTAATTTCTCTTAAATTAAGATATATATTAATAAATATTTTTATCAAAATTCTGTTTTTCATTATCTTTAGTATATATTATTTTTTTTATTTTGATGATTTTTTATTAATAGTTTTCTTTTTGTTATTTTGTTTTTAAAATTTAAATCTAAAATTCGGTCCAAATCCAAAAAAATCCCATTGGTTTACTTTTCTTGGTTTTATAGATAGTATACACAATGGCTTGATATTAGGGTTGGACACGGGTCGGTACCCATGATTTTGGAGATACCCATTTTCGTCTTCATCTTCACGGTTTCATGAAAACAATGTCTCATTCTCTATCTCATTAACACTAGGTATTCGTCGACCAGGTACCCGTGACTAAGAGACGGGTACCCTCGGATATCCATACCCGTAAAATATATTTTTTAAATAAATATAAACCAAATATTTAGTAAAATTATATTATTTAATTCAAAATATGTTTAAAATATAAAAAAAATATCTATGAATATATAGATTTATAGAATTTTTTAAATATATATGTTAATTTTTAAAAATTTAAAACTTATATTTAAATAAATAATTTAAAAAAATATAGCAATATTTGATATTTTTTTAGATATTTACGGGTACCCACGGGTACCGTCTTGAGAAAAACGAAATCCGTACCCGTCTTTGTTTTAATCTATTGGTACTCATTTTCGTCTTCATACAGATGTGAGTACCCATTTTTTGGGTACCCTCGAGATCGGGTACCCTCGAACCTGTGGATAACGAGTATAAATGCTCAGCCCTACTTGATCTTGCAGGTTTAATCATCAAGTGAACCCATCATCACTCAAGAGACAAGGCTAATGTGGTGTCAAGAACGAATAGCGGTTTTAGACAATGGAATTTTCGAAACTCTATCGAAAGATGATTTAACTAACATGGCCACTATAAGAAATGTTTAAATTTGCGACGGAATATTCTGTCACAATACGAACAAGATTCTGTCGGTAATAAAGAAATGCGATGACGACAAATGTTATTCCGTCGCTAAATCATTGTCGCAAAATCCGTGTGGTCGGTAATCTGTCGTGATGTTTCGACTACATTTTAAAAAAAAAAGCCCGAAGCCCGGCCTGAACCCGGAAAAAGCCCAGTGGGCCGGGCCTCGGGCCCAAGATTTTAAGCCCGTGTGTGTTTCTTCGGGTTTTTGTCATGCTCGCTGGCCCGGCCATTTTGACACTCCTAATGATGAACATCAAGTCATTGACTAAAGACGGATTTTTTTGTGGAACTGTCTTCTCAGTTGTTAATGGCATAACATATAAATTTCAACCTGCATTCTGTATCTCACAACTATCTTGATGCATTCCGTATGTTTCATGGGTTCACACAGTGTAGATGTGTGTATATATGTGTACATAGAATTTATCTGAACATGTATCCTAAGCTATCACATGCTCAAGAACTATGAAGAAAAAGAGATGATATGCCCAGAAACCACATCGATTTCAAGAATTGAGACAGCAAGAATTCAAACATGCTCAAGAACATGTTTGCGTATAAAGTGTCTACTAAACAACTGCTTTATACGCAAACCTAATACAAAATCCCGAATCATGATGAGATCTGATCAACATATCCTAGAACTGTCAAGAGCCGAACTGAACAAAAATCAACAAACGTACCTCGGGAGGAGGATTCAGATACAGGAACACGAGGAATTCTGTCGAGGAGGAAGCAAATCGGACCGTGAAATCCATGGCGCTGGGACTAGAGCAAGAGCGAGAAAGACCGGAAACCTAAATCTAGAAGCAAAACTAGGAAAACCCCAAAATCAAAATCGGTAATAAATTGGACCATCACAGTATGTTCAAAATTCGAACGTTAAAAGGTGCCTTTTCAGAACCATTTAAATTCATGGCCTCTTTTTAAAAAATCATTTAGCTAAAATGCAAAATGGGCCCCTTATTTTGAAATTAACCAAAATTAAATCCATTTTCATGTTATTTTGATTTAGGGCGTATTGGGCCTGTTCTCTAAAATCTAAATGGGCTTATTTTCTAATATGGTTATACGAAGATTAAAGCTAATTCCTTTTACATAAAAAAAAAAAAATCATTTCGGAACAGTTAAAATTGGGTTTTTTTTTTTTTTTTTTTTTTTTTTACAAGAATCCAAAAAAAGGGGGTTTGTATGTAACCCGACAACCTTTTACATACAATGTTTTTCTTAAGTAAAAAACACCTGAGAGTATATTCGAGTTTCCAATTGATGTTAGAGTGGAATCAAATTATATTTAAAATATGATAACAAGATTATAAGAATTTTACGAAATCGCCAACAGATGGCTTCTTCACATCAATAAATTTTATTACACTTGAATGAAGCAATGGAAGCTGTACAAGACTTATAAACGTAATTTTTTTTTTCTGAAACAAATGGTGACTTATTGACAACAGCAACAAAAAAATCCAATCGTATGAAAACAAACCCAAGATCTCTTCTTCTTCTCCTTCTCATTTCTAATGTAATCACCAACTGTACGACAAAACCGCCGGATCTCCGCCGGATATTCTCGTCTCCGCCGCGGAGCACGACGGGGAGCTCTTCAGCTCCGGGCACGGTTCCGGCGACACGTCATACGAGAACCCAGATACGTACGAGCATACCCACGAAGCCCGAGGCGACAGATGAACCTCCGTCAAGCATATCGACGTGAACGGAGATTCTCTTATTCCGGTGAAGTTTCCGGCCAAGCCCACGTCTTCTCCGGTGAGATTCCGTAGCACGATCCGGGTCACAACGGGGAGAGCATCCGGGTCGAACCCATCATCTGGGTGGGTCCCGACGTGGCCGTCGGCTACGACGGCGGTGCTGACTCCGTCGAACTCGACGCCGGAGATTGTGATATTTCGGATAGACCCTCCCCGGCCTCTGGTTGTTCTGAAGGAGACGCCGAAGAGAGAGGCGTGAATGCGGATGTCCTCGACCGTCACGGCGGAGATTCCGCCGGACATCTCACTGCCGAAGGAGATTCCCGAGCCGGTTGGAGACTTGAGGCTGAGCCGCCGCATCCATAAGGCGGTCGTTGGTCGGTTGTAGCTTATGCCGTACTCGTCCCAACCACTGGGTGTTGTGTTTCTCTCCATTCCACCGGTATTGATCGTCGAGTCCTCGATACATACATTGTCCGAAGAATCTGAAGATCACAACACGTGATTCATAACGCGAGATGGAAAGAGTCGAGGATGAAGAGGGAAAGATGAGAAGCTTGAATTACCTGGGACGACCCCGAGGACGTAAGGAGAATCTACGGTCGTTTCGATCAAAACCTTTCGGATATGGACGTGGCTGCAATAGACGGGATGAATGTTGCTTGCAGGCGCATTTCGGAACGTGACATTAGAAATGAATATGTCTTTGGAAGAGACGAACTCGACGAGATGAGGTCGGGTGTAGTTAAGGGAACCCGACTCGAGCCACTCCCACCAGACAGAGCCTTGCCCATCAAAAGTCCCGTTATCCCCTGCCCGTATCGAAAATTACGAAGAGTTTCAGTTAGTATAGAGTTTAGATATTAGTGTGTTTTCTATAACCGCGAGGATATTCGGCTTACCGGTGATGACCACGTCCCGGAGATTATCGCCATTGATCAAGCTTCTGTATCTCTTTCCCGGAAGCTCGATGCCTCTCCCATAGGATGGGAGCGGATCTACAATGTCCCAATGCGATGGGTCCTGTCCGATCAAAGAACCAGCTCTTTCCCATCAAATCTTTTGATCTTTCCGTCAAATCTTTCCATAGGTTTTGTTTAGGAGATCATACCGGGGAAGCAAGAATGACGGCGCCTTTATCCAAGAAGAGGGTGAGGTGGCTGGTGAGGTTGAAGCTCCCAGTGAGCCATTTCCCGGGCGGAACGTAGAGCTGAGCCCCTCCTTTATCGGCGAACGACTTCAGATAGAAAACGGCATTCTGAAAAGCAACCGTGTTGAGCGTTTTCCCGTCTCCCACCGCTCCAAACTCCGATATCGAAACGCTGTGAGGCCTCGGGTCAGGTTTGAATCCTTCCTCGCATATCGGGCTGCCATTGCTTTCACCGGATGCTACTCTTATCAACAGGTTGGTGAATGCCAGTAGCAGGATCAATGCCACCTGTGGAAAAATGGCAACTTTTCTTCAGAATGATCAAAATTGCAGGATTTTCTCACTGTCAACAGAATGGAGTGCCGGAAAACTATAAATTTTCCCGGAAAAAAAAAAAGCAGGGCAGTAACCATTTGCCGGATAACAACTAAACCGGGAGTGTGACATCAATCACAAGTGTGACCCCTCAGCTTTTCTCATCATCAATGGGCGAGATCCCAAGAAAACCGAAGTAATTCCAAGAAATCTCAGAACCAAGAAACCGATAACTTTGTTCGTGTTCCAGAGGTTTCTGAGCAGAGAGAATTTTAGTGACACTAGGGTTCAGAATCAGACAAAGGATCCAGAAAACGTATGTGCATATGGGTGATTGTACTTTGCTGTGTATTCAACTGAAACAACAACAGCAGAGAGAGAAGAACCAAGATCTCCAGAGAATTGAGCGAAACTGGGAGGAGAGTTCATAGGATTTCTACCCAAAGATGAAAAACTTGTAAGAATTGTATGGGCAGAGAAAGACTGAGCGAAAGGCAATGAATCAACAGAGAATCGGGCGGAAACCCGGAAGAGATTTCGTATTGTTTCTCCCCAAAGTTTGAAACTTTAGAATTGCATCAGCAGATTTTACAGAGATTAACCGAAATCCAGCAACAAAAACAACAGATTGGAAGCAAATAGAAATATAAACAAAGAATAAAGAAACGTACTTACTGGCATCTTCATGAACCCAGAGACTCAGAGGCAGCTGCAAGAAGAAGGAGGAGGAGGAAGAGAAGAGGAAAAAGCCTTCGAATCCAGAGACAAAAAACAAGAGGAAGAGCTGAAGGAGACAGAAGCAAGTACATGTCTTTGTATTATTCTTGTTACTATTTTTTTTTTTTTCTCCTTCGCATATAATCATTATTTTTTGTTCATTAATTGGACTTAGTAACATTAAATTTACATAAATGACCAGACACGATAATGTAATGATATTTTCTAGCGACAATTTATGTTTTATATTTCCATAAAAAAAAAACTTTTGTTTTTTTTCCCAAGAAAAAAAACAACCCTCATATTGTTTTGGTTTTTTTTTCTCTTGGAAAACATAAAATATCTATAGACTTTTGTAGTTTCGAATCACGAATCTTAAATTTAGATATAGCTTTTAAATCGAAAATAAATTTGTTTTTGAAAAATATGCATTCATAATTTCATGCCCCTTTGAACAAAAAAAAAAGAAAAAAGAAAATAAAAGTCACAATTAAATACATTACAATTTCATTGTTTTTGTATTTTCCAAAAATTACGGCGAAATCAACAAAAGCATAGGAAAACAGCCTGGGATGCGGACATATAAACATCGGAGCAAGTAGGGCGACGGTGCCCATAGAATCCCATAACATATTGCTGTCATGTACATGATGGCATTATCATTTATTTAAATAATTAATTATTAAGTGAATAAATTAACTGCCACCAATTTGTAATTTTTATCCCTAAAAAAAATCAATGATTGGATCAACGTCTCTTTGCCGACACGATTATTTCTCATACGTCTAAACAAACGGTTTTAAAAAAATATTAATTATTGTCTTCACATGTATTTACCTATATTTATTTAACAGTCTGTGAAATAGTACCTCTTCATGGTTTTACTGATAATATATATCTGTAATTAAAATATATATATGTAATTGCATGACAAAACATAGGTTTAGCAAGTAAGTAGGATTAAATGTATTGATTTGAGGTGCAAAAAAGGACAAAAATATCCAAAATAAGATTCGGTAAAAAGATTTGACCATAAAGGAGGGGACAGGAGAATACGAGGGAGTCATAAACTGACACATGGCGGACTAATGCGACCGTAAATATGTAAATTACCAAACTTGACCAAACATTAATTAATTAATTATATTCCAGTATACAATTTCTTTTTATAATTCAAGAAAGATATCGAAAGTTACATATGATTTATTTTGAATAAATACACATGTTTTTTTTTTATGAGAATCATCATAGTATAATTATCTTATAAATATTAGTATGATTAGATTTTATTTTATTCGTATATATCAAAATAGACAAGTAGGCAAGGAAGGGCGAAGAAATAAGAAAAACGCATGTGCATAGACAGAAAACTACGGGCCCCACAACCAATCGCCAGCCTGGCTGACAGGACGTATGCCATAACCCAAATGCCACCTCTATACACACTCATTTATTATTGTTATTATTATTATTATTATTATCACCATCTAATCAATATTTAAATGTATTTTAGATGACGCGATTCGCATCGAGAAACATACACGTATTGCTTTACCATTCACACAGTTTTACATTCTCGTAAAAAAAAATCACATTATCGTATAATATACATATATATATATATATATATATATCCATGTTGAATCGAACGTTTATGTAATTTTAGTAGATTCCATGTCAGCATCATCGAAGAGAATACATAATAAACACGTGAGATCGATGTCTTAATCTCTTATAACTTTTGATTTCCGGTTTGAATCCGAATACACGTATGAATGTTTTATACACACATAAGCGTAAATACGTACGCGTACGTATATATACACACACATACACATGTGACATGTGTAGAGATACAGAAAAGACGGTCATAAATTAAATGTGAATGTTGGCAGAATTTCTTTGGATCCCTTTGCTGTTGTGGTGGAGACCCCACCCCCCACCAGCTTTCACACTCACTTTCTTCTACTCACGTAACTAGGTTGGTCCTCCTTACTTATACTATGTATACACGATCATATATATATATATATATATATGTGTGTGTGTGTGTATTAACCCGAGAATCTTATTATATATATATATATATATAACTCGACTAATAACCAATTAATCTATCTTATAACCTGCTTTATAAAATTGAAGTTAAATAAAAATCGGTTCGTAGATGGGGTATCATTTTATTGTATGGATGGAAGGCCGAGCATGAGAATTTGTTGAAATCATGATGAGTTTGGTACGGCGTTGCGAATTAAAGATCGTGGCTGCATAAAGTTTATGGACCCTTTGTTTTTTTTGTTCAGTGTCACTAACACACACATTCCACTCCTATATATATATATATAAGAAAGTTGCATGCATGCATGCGCTTGTACAGCACATTCAAAAACACGAATTTGTTCGTATATATACTCTTAAGTATCTATCTGTATGGCATAAGCAAGACATTATACACGTACGTTCATCCCCGATTCCCAACGGTGATGTGTATATGCGTGTGTGTGTGTGTATATGTGTGTGTATATATATGTTGTAGGGACATGCATATATTACACATGATGCGTGGAATGAGTTGGTGGGTTTCCAGTAATCAAATGATTGAAGAAAAAAAACGAAGACAAGATAGTCGTAATTATTATTTATAAGTTGGATGGGAAACCATTTGAGTTCAAAACTATGATGGTTAACAGTTGTGTATATATATACATATATATATATATATATATATATATAAATTAAGCGTAAAATTATCAACATCCAATGGTCTGTTTGTACGATGAAATTTTAATTAGGATTTTTACTCGCATTTTCTGGGAACTTGAAATATATAACATAAACATATGTAAATATAAGACAAATCAATGCCCACACTGGCGAAATGTTTTAGTCATAAAGGCTATTAATTACTAATATACTCTAAACGCAACATAGTTTACTTAATAGAGTTTGAATTTTGAGTCATTCCCATGAATTTATGAAAATATGTAATTTTTATTTGAAGATTAAATGCATGCTAACGTTAATCGCTCCGTGGTTGTCCAATGTAAACATTTTGTTCGATGGTCCACTTCTTCAATCAATGATAAATATAAAAAAGCATGCAATAATTTCTAGTAAAAGGTAAAAATAATTGACCTTTATTATTTATTATTATTATTGTGTTATTTATTTTGTTTTGTTTTAAATGGACTCTATGACCGTAGGATGAAATTTATTGCAGTCAATATATTCATATGGGCCTTTAAGATTAAAAAAAAAAAAAAATCAACCATCATAAATATTTGTGTTCGACATTTTGAAATTAGGTTGAAAATCTAATAAAAATGTAGATTTTCAAATATAGAATTTTTTGAAAATACTGCCTGGTGGATACAATTAACATTGCAAAACTTTAGGCTTGAAAATGGCCGAAACAATTAAAAGCCGGCTAAGGTTCCGGAGGGATGTCTAATCGGGCCGGTCAACCCACGTCAATAACCGGGTTATCAAACCGGACCGGTTACCATTCAATAATTCCGTCAACGGGATCACGATTTGATGCATTTATGCTAAGAATGGGAAACAATCTACGCCTCTCAATACAAATAGAACAACAGCCTCTCTATATTTAGTTGATCACCCAACCACTAGAAATGTATAAAATACGCATGCTTCATCCCTATCATCTCATAAGAGTTACAAAAAAACAAAAACCAAAGACAAAACCAAGAAACAAGTATGGCGGCATATGCTAGGAACAATGTTTTCTTGTCTTCTCTCATGTTTCTTCTATTCATCGGTTCCTCGTACGCAATAACGGCTGCAGACATAAATGCAATCTGTGGGAAAGCGCTAAACCCGTCTTTCTGTCTGAAATACCTAAAATCCAACCCGAAGATCTTAGCTTCTGGTCTTCCGGATGTTGCCAAGATCACTATTGATTCCGCGCAGACATCTGCATCGAAGACTTTTAAGCAGATCCAGTCCATTGTCCAGAAAACAACCGACCCGAAATCAAAGCAAGCCTACACGTCGTGCTTAGACAATTACGAGTCGGTAGTCGATACCTTGGATGAAGCCAAGGAGCATCTGGCAGCCGGGGATCCTGCAAGTGTGAACATCAAAGTTTCAGGCGCTATGGATGGACCGGAATCATGTCTAGACGACCTCAAGAACATCAAGGCCGATCCTTCGGTCGTGAAGAACAGCGAGTATATCGGGAACGTTTGTGGAATCACTCTTGTTATCTCGAACATGTTACCCAGGCGTATGTAATCTGTAAAGACGAGACAATATTAATCTGATTAACAATCAGATACTCGTAACACTGACAACATCAAGAAGTTGATTATCCAAAGAACCCGGTTCTCTCCTTTTCTTTACACCCCAGATGAACATCTATATATATATATATAAGTTAAAAAGGAAAAGGCATGCCTTTCAAGCTATAAATCCATCCTTACCTTCAGATAGACCAGGAGACCGAAGTGTCGTACCAGAGGCGCATTCTGCAGAATCCATTAGGAACACCGGAGAAAACAAACCATTCCTTATTCATGTTCAAACTGATAGAGAGACAGAGCATATGGGATTTATGCAGACATTCACCATTGTCAATGCAGCAAATATAGAGAGCAGTAATAATGGCAAAACATTTTCAAGATGGAACACTTCATTGTTAGTACTGATAAAACTCACGATCCTTCACACGATAGTCTAAGACACGACACGAGAATACAAGGGAAAGAAAAAGCCTCGGCAACACGACACCAGGGCAGCATTATTCACGAAAAGATCAAAGGGTTTAGAGATGAACGGAGGTGGGTTTGTAGTCTATGACCAATACTTTGTCCACGCTGGCTAGGAACAAGTTGGCGAAATCGACATGAGCGGGATGAGCAACGTATTCTGCTACCCCTTCCGTGCTCTCGAACGTGGATTCGAAGATGTGTGTGAATCCCTGATGCATATTCTCAATGCTCACATCTTTCCCCCTATTGTTCATTCAAACATCCAAAGAACATCATCAGATTGATAGTTCAGAACCAAGCTTTCACTAAGAGAGACTATGATCTCAAAATTCATCCCAAAAAAATCCTTTTTTTTCATCTCTGTCTCGGTCGAAATAAGTGAAGATTGAGAAACTAGAGCTGATCACTCAGCGTGAAACCGATCAATTATGAGGGTCTCAGTCCCATACCGATTAGCAAATCCAACATTCTCCAAAATGGTAAACATGTATGTTTCTGCGTGGGGGTGTTCTTATGCAAATTTCATTCCATAGATTTTACCATAATACACGACAATTCAACACCAAACATACAATATAGCTGGATCGATTTTAACCCAGAGAGAAGCATTTCCAATCGAATTTAGGTCGGCGACCAATCCACAATAAGTAAATAGAGAAACCTAGAAAACAATCGGAGAAAAAGGGAAAACAGACGGGAATTTACCAGTGGAAAGCTTTCATGGGTTCGATGAGATTGACGAGGTCGGCATAACCCTTGATGAGTTCTTCGATTTTCTCAGGAGGGACATCGTCTTTGAACTTAGCCAGCAGAACGTGCTTCACTGTTCCTTTTGCTTCCTCCATTGTCGCTCCTCTCCTCTCCCTCTTCTCCGTCTTCTTCTTCTTCTTGATCAACTTCAATCGACGGTCCTAATTTTATTTCGGTGAAATTGGGTGAGTGGTGGGCCCCACCTGATAATTAATTTTCATTTTTTTATTTTCTAATTACCCATGAGTTGACGTTTTTTTTATCCGCATGAGTTGACGTTTTCTGTTTATAGATAATAGACAGGGGTGGTTAAAAATATCCGGATGTGGAGTATTCGGATCGGGTATCCGAACAAACGAGAGATGAGATCGGATATTAATATTAGAATATCTGAATTTTTGGGTTCGGATTCGGATTATAGTTATTATCTCATGGGTATCCGGATAATAAAAAATTATGTTTTAAATTTTAAATTTTTTATTAGATTTTATGTTATTTTATTTAATATTAATGATTATATAGATATTATTGGATTGATCAAGGTCCGGAGGCGTGAAGCCTTGAAAGAGGGAGAGACGAGCTTTTCGCGAAAGAGAGGATTTGCCTCTATCAGTTTCTTCAACTCTGCAAGCATTATGGTTCTGGCTGATTTCGCATCGCCATATTTCGAAGGGTGCTCATTTTCCCTTTATTACAAAACAAAGAAACTTCAAATCCACAAAACCATTTAACTATCATATTCATGCCCAAAATAAAATATATATATATATATATATATATATAAAAGCTTACCTGAAATTCTCGAGAGCTAGAAACTGATGATTTCCTTGTAAAGATCCTCGTTGAATGTCGAAAAAACTCTCAAATCCTTCACCAATATGTCAACAGCTCTCGCTCTATCATTTCTGACAATATCTATTATTGGAAGCGGTCTTCGTCAAAACCCGCTGAGCAACTCGGAGGTTTCCAAAGCCTCAGAACGAAGCAGAAGGTTTGAGGATTAATATATATATATATTAACCAACGTTGAAATTATGACTTTCCACCGAATGCTGAGCAAAACCAGAACAATAAAGAAGTTTCAGGAAAAAAACAAACAAACACCAAGAAGAGCAGAGCAAGAAACCACGACAACTGATCAAATAACACAAAAAATGTTCCTGAGACATGATCTGTAAAAGGCATAACACGTGAATCTGTCGGAAATTCGAAAGAAAACATACTGGAGATGTTGAATTACCGATCCAGAGCTTGGAGATACTTTTGCTTCCTGATCTCGAAGTAAATCTTCATGGAATGCCGTATTGCTTCCAGTTAGAATTTAAGGATCTAACATTGTGATAGTTCCC